TACTTTCCAAGTCAATCGCCTTAGTTTTCTTTCTCGTACATTGTATATAAAAAAATGTGATGAAAATTTATTCCGAAAGTATGTACGGTGAAATTTAAAATTAATAGTACGTGAGTCACATTTAATGTAAATAATTGATTATTTTTTTTGAATAATTTATAAATAAATTATATTATTAGTCCTCTAGTTTGAGTCAGATTTTACTTTGGAGCTTTTGTCATGTGTTGTTAACATATAAGTTGAATAGAAAGAAAAAAAATTAATGTAAAAACTAGAGTGATCAAAGTGAAATTCAAAAGAAAGTGTAAGGATTAAATTTTTTTCTAAATGATAACAAAAATGAAGGAGAGATCATATTACATACAAAATTGAAAGTGTAAGAACTATTTTTTTAATGATAAATTACAAATATATCCCTTTAGATTTTTTTAAAATACAAATTGGTCACAAGTGATTCTGAAAATTACAAATAGTCCCTTCTCAAAAAAATTTGTTTAACAGAATACAAATTGTCACAAGTGATTCTGAAAATTACAAATAGTCCCTTCTCAAAAAAACTTTGTTTAACAGAATTAATAGAAAAATAAAATTTCTAACTACTTTTCTAATTGAAGTATATTTTCAAAAATGATCAAAAAAATATTAATTGACTTGATGATTTATTAATAAAAATAATCATTTGTTTATGTATTAAAAACTTGAAGGGATGGAATGTAATTTTTAGAATTACAAGTGACAATTCATATTTTGAGCAAGTTTAAAGGAGTGCATTTATAATTTACTCATAAAAATTAAAAGGAGAATTACATTTTCATTGGGCTTGAAAAAAACATTTACATATGCATGAAAAAATTTAAATTTAAAATATTAATATTTATAAAGTTTATCATTTATGAGTAATTTATTTTCTACATCTACACACCGAATAATATTTTTTCAAAATTAAATTACATGGACTAAATGTAAGAATTAGGTGTATTACATAATATTTTCATCAACCTTTTCTTCAGTTTTTCATACATGAGATTCTTTTTTGTTGATAAAAAAAATTCTTTAAATATTATTTCTAGATTAATAGTATTGCTGCTTATATATTGACAAACCATCTTATCTTCATCTTCATCTTGGTCTTTTTGAAGGTAGAGAAAAAGGTTAAAGATGGAGGGGCATCATCACCGCATAGGTATCGCTTGAGATAGCTGAGATCTATTTCAACACTCATCAGAGAACCTCAAGCAACTGATAGAAGACTTTTTCAATTCATTGGATGAAGACCACGATAAAAAAGTAAGTCTGAGTGAATTCTTGAACAACATGAAGGAGGAAGGACTCGTAAAAGCAGAAAATCCACCAGAAATGTTCAATGCGCTCGACGTGAACCATGATGGAAGTCTGGATTTCAAGGAGGTGATGGCTCTGTACTACGTTATTAAGAGTGGAAGACCTTTCTGTGGAGGATGTGGTAAGTTCATACCAGGGATGTTCTTCAGTTTTCGATATGTTTTGACAATGAAGATGACAAGTTCTGCGTTTGCCCCAAGTGTTTTAGCAATGAAAATAAAAGTTACACCCACAAACATATGCCCTGGCCATTTCTTGGATAACTTTGCTTTGCTTGAAGCTAAGAGAAAGATGACTATGGATACCAGAAAGCCACCTCCTTCCCCGGAAGAGCCTAAGGTAACCACCTCTTCTCTCTCTCTCTCCTCTCTCTCTCTCTCTCTCACAACAACACACACACGTATTATCTATCTTTTAAAATTTCACATTTTGCGGTGAATCCAATCAATAGTACAATGCCATGCAATAGCCATGGCCCTTAATAATTACATGGGTTTAAAATTCAAGGAAGTTGATATAGAAATAATAATATATTATTGTTGATGGACATACAATCACAGTATCTTTTTGAATATGTATATATAAATTAACGTTATCGATTCCTCTAGTTGAACGAAATTATTCAAATTGCTCTTGGAGTAATACTCTCATTTACTAGATTCGATATTTAACATTTATCTCTAAAATTTTAAACACTGAAAGTCGTAGATTTCATGATTTAGATCAATTAATTGCTCATTTGAAACATCAATCTAAACTTGCACGCGGAGCATTGAATAACTTTCTTGCTAGTAATAGATTGCAGTTTCACTTCAATCTTGTAGTTTCAATTTGCATTTATATTTTTTATTTTGTTGCATGTTATTCCTCAATTATTTACAGTTTTAAAATATTAAACAAACAAAAAAAAAAAAAAACATATAAATTAGAGAAAAATCAAAAGTTGAAACTCAACAAGAATCTATATTAATAATCACTATTATTATTATTATTTTCTTTGAAATTCACTTCAAAAAAATTATGGGCGGACACAAAAATATTAAACAAACAACAGGCACAAAAGAATAAAATTGCAAACAAAATGAGAGTTTAGGTTCAAATATGAAATTTATGGAGACTAAAAGTTACACTTCGCTTAACATGCAAGGACTAAACGGTGAAATATATCCCTCTTCTTTTTCACATTTACCTTTTACGGTAAACTTACACTGTTACTCGCATGAGGTTTGGCAATAAATCACAAGAATTTCAGTAATTTTGACATAATTACATTATCATCCTAAAGATTAATGCAGTAATATTGCTAATTTATTTTTCATGACTAAATTGGTTAGTCCATATAGACATAAAATTGATATTCATCACATCTTTTTATTTCTAAAATGTATATATTTTTATTACTCCTTATCACTGTTCTTAGCCTTACTAAAAAAAAATTCAATATAATTTAATGTAAGACATTTTAAAGACTATTTGTTTTCTTTTTCCTTTTCTTCTTAAACTTCTGGAAATATGATGGATGGGCATATTATTATGTTCAATTAAAAATCAAGGGTTATTAAAAAATTAAAGCATTATATTCCAGTTTACCTAGAACGAGTGAATAATTAGGTTTAATATCTCACAGGTTCGTGTTACAAAATATGTACCCATTTAAGTCTCCACAATGTTATTTATTTTATCAATTTCCACGTTTGATTCTTTAAAAAAGATTTTTTTTTTTGATCGGCAAAAAGAAACTTTAATGATGAGAAAGCGAAAATTACATCAATAAAGTGGAACTTGGAAGCTAAAAACAAGCACCAACCTCCAAGTTGGTTGAAAACCAACGAAGCCAAACAAACAAAGAAAAAACCAGAAAAAAAACAGAAAGCTTAGCACTACAATCACCAAAAATGAATTCCCACAGCTCAAACAATAGCAAACCAAACACTCATCTTCTAATTAATATGTGATGGGGTAACAACCAAAAACATGATATTCTCCTTGGAGTAACTAAACAGCATCAGAACCACTAATGTGTACCAAATCCTATAACCAAGCATGCACCTACCCAATCTACCAACAGCAGACCAATATTGAATTAAACTGCAAAATTCCAGCAAGAAGTCGAACCTGGAGCCCCATAACAGAGATAGACTTCCCAAGACAATCACAGCCCATTAACCCTTTGCCTTCAGCCTTCCCAGCTAATAGCAGACCCAAAAATTCATCAAACCTTCCAAAATTGCTACAGCCTTAGTTGACTCCACACAGCACAACCCCAGATGGATTGGCCCAGCTGAATCAATTAACCTTCAGCAAGCTGCAGAAGAGGATGGGGAAGAGCACCTTTCCTGTCCACAAGCAACCAGTGGCACAGTCAACAGCTTTCCTGTCCACAACATCACCACAGTCAACAGCTTTCCTGTCCACAACGCCATTGACTACCACCAATTCAAACTACCTAGATATGTTTAACCATCAGGAAGCAAAAACTCCAACTGCACGCCCAGCCATAACTGCATTCAGAGCATACCAACTATTCTTTCTCCCACACAGATCAACCGAGTACAGACCATGTTCATCACACCGGCATTGAAAACACTCCTCTTGCTTTACCGCCACCAGAGCCTGTAGAAGAGTCACAAAAAACCATTTCAATAGTGCTGCAGAAACTCCTTAAGCCAAGCCATCTTTCTGATCTGTTGCAGATTTGCACTAGGATCATTGACAAGTGAAGTTCAGAGCTGGGACATAAGACTTAATCCACAAAGCAATTCGAACCTCAATGAGATTCCACACAAAGCTAGAAAATTAGGCTCCACCCCATTGAACACGAGTCATTCCTCTGTTTCCATTGGGACCAGAAAATAGCCATATGGAAATTTACACTCCATCAGCTTCTTTTCAATTTCCTCATGCTCAACCGACTCACCACTGAATCACACTTTGAACAAGGAACCATGGTGAAAGCCCATTGCCCACCCCCACCTTCTGACAAATAAGACCAGATCAGCCACAACACGAGGGCAGGAAGTACACACATTGAGTTATATTAAGTTTCCTCCTCTATTTGCAAAAACACAACAAACTATTCAACATTGGCACTTTAGGATACAAGTCTGCGAAATAACTAGCAGACTTGATTCTACCCTTTCCACACCAAACCCAACGCAAAATGTGCTCTTGGTGGGAGCTGGACGCTTTCCACAAACTGTATAGATCAAAACTATTTAGCCCAAATCCCAATTCAAAACACTGGATAAACAGGATGAGACACTAAAACAACCAGCTGTATTTGCATTCGTCAGAGTCAAAACAATCTGCCACATTACATCTAAAGCAAAGGAGGCCTACTCAAAACTAGTAATCTACTCAATTCTGCTTCCTCCCAAGCAAAAAAGAGACCTCTCTAAAATTAAACACCCCAATTCCCATATACATCTCTATTGTGTGAAACATGAAAAACAGACTCTTCTTTTATCAACTGATAGAGAATATAGTCTAGGAACTTCATCCTCTAAGACATTACACCCTCTAAACCAGCATTCAGTACCAAAAATTCTCATTCTTCTACCCATCCCCAGCTTGACCACCAGCATTACCCTAAAAATGCATCAGATTTGCCCTAGGAAGCCACAGTGTAAATAACTATCAGCCCAAGTTTAGACAACCTACTAGTCCCTGGTGGAGGGGATTACCATGCCAACCTGACTCCTTACTTTCGACATATAACATCCTTCCAACAGAGAGTCTTCTTCAGCACCAAACCTCCACCACCACGTTCAGTAAAAAGGCAAAATCATGATTCTAATCCCTTAACACCCAAACTCCTACCTAAGTTTTACTTTTGAAACTCCTCCGCATTTCACCAAGTGCACTTTACCTCCTCAAATCTGAGCCACCCAAAGAAAAGCAAGATTGAATACTTTCCATCTTTTTTGCACATCTCGGGCAATCTTAAATATTGAGAGATAAAAATGGTAGGCTAGGCAAAGGAACAAGACTTATATCAGGTCAGCCGACCGCGAAGGATAAGATATCTTCTCTTCCAGAAGCAAGTTCTTTGCTTACATTTCTCAATCCACTGGCAAGGCGCCCAAGTTCTTGCTACTACTTGGGCTGGCCCTAATGGCAACCACCAGTATTTTATGGGCAATTTTTGAAATTTACAATTCAACCTTCTGCAAAATCCTGCCCAGCTCATCTGAATCCCCCACCCACAGACCCGACGCTTTGTTTTAAAAATTATTCTTAAGTCCTGACAAACTTCAAAGCACCCTGAAGATTCGTTTTATATTCTACTAAAAAGTTTTATGTTGTCGCCGGAATTTTATTCAAAAAACGAGACAAAATTGTTAATTTCAAGGCGGTGAAGATGTTGCCATACTAGTTTCTCGTTTTTGGGAATAAAAATTTTTTTAGTATTTTTTATTTTAGTTTTAAAAATATGAATATAAAATTAGTATATTATAAAAAGATGTGTAAAAAGTATAGAAAAAAAAAATCTTAACTTTTTTGTATATTAATTTTTTGATATATTTTAATAACTTTTTAATTTTTAGATTAAAAAAATTACTTTCAAACGAGGCTTAATTTGATTATAATTTTTTTTTATTTTCTTTAAGATAGAAAAAGTAGTTACAATTAGAAAATAATTTTATTATTTAAATAAGACCATCACTAGTTCATTTAATAATAAAAAATTAATAAAGTCATTTTTTTTTTTTTGAATAAAAATTAATAAAGTCTCACAAATCAATTAAACTAAGCCTACCAAGCCAAGTTCAACCCACCACTAATAAATTATATACAACATCGTAATAGAAGAAATAAATTAATTACCACAAAGGATATCAAAATTCTTTTCTATAATTATTTTATTTTTTTATTTTTTATTTTTATTTACTTATTTATTTATTTTATTATTTTATTTTATTTTGGTGTAATTGATGAAAGTCAATTATTGATTGTTGGATTAGTACTTTGGAAGTTAACCTCTCCATCTTACAAAGCACCAAGTGCTTTTCTACTAATCTAACTCCCCCTAAGAGAAGTTGAACTCATGACCTTCCCTTTAGGATTAAGCCCTTAAGAAAGTCATGATCGCCAATTAGATTAGGCCGAATTGATTTAACTTGTCTCTATAGTTTTTTTTTTTTTTTTTTGACAACTCAGGGTGTCCGCGGCCAGTTGCGCGCACCTCGACTAATCCCTAAGGGACCAATCCCACCGTCCACTAGCGGGGGGTCCATTTAAAGCCAGAGCAAAGCTCTGTGTGGGACTGTCCGAACACAAGAGTTGATAGCACTAAGAGGTTTTGAACCTGAGACCTAAAGAGGAGCAAACTCCTAAGTGTCAAACCTCTACCACTAGGCCAATCCTTGGGGGTTTATATAAATGCACTTATGGGTTTTGTTTGGAGCCAACATTTATATGCATTTTATAAAATAAAATAAAAAGAGACCCAAAAAAAAAAAAAAAGAA